TGTAGCTGTCTTCCTTTACTTAGCATGATGTTTAAGGAGTTGGAGAGGAAGTCTTTACTTCCGAGACTTAGCCTTTCTGGAATTTTAATGAAATCTGAGACATTTAGCAAAGCTGAATTTGGAAGGTCTTGAACTGGAAGTTCTGTTTCCTTCACAGTGGCTTCTGGGTTCTATGCGTAGATTTTTCAGCTGTCCAGACCTCCCTTTCCTTCTGAGTTCCTTAGACGCTCACCCTGCACAGATAAATTTCAAGAAATTGAGGACAGTAAATTTTTAGATTTTAAGATTCCATTACATTGAGATTTCTCCAGCAGTCTAAAAATACTCAGGCTAACAAGATGAAGGATCTTTACTGGAGATAATCATCAATTCCATTAGTGGGAAAGGGTCCTCAAGGGACAAACTGAATAGAATAGTGTGGGGCTTACTGTAGTTGCTCCTTCTAAGTGCTGAATGCTTTCTCAATTTTGCCTCTTTTGGGTAACTCTACAATGACTTTGATTGGTTGCTTTTCTTTTTTTTTTTTTTGGTACCGGGGATCAAACTCGGGTCCTTGCGCTTGTGAGGCAGGCTGCCGAACCACTGAGCTAAATCCTGGGCCCTAATTGATTGCTTTTTAATTTTTTCCAGAATATATAATTATAGTTGGTAAGAGAGTTACTGTAAAATCAGACAATTTCTCAGAGTCAGAAAACTTCTGGACAAGATATTTTTTCCATTAACGTGACGAATAAGAATTAAGAAAGATTCTCAGTGTCAGAAATTAGGATATCATCACTTCATAATTTTGATAATTCAGTCAGGATCTTAGCCATTAATTTCTTTAAATAAATACATATAGACATTATAAATAAGATTACAAGAGTAGTCCTTAAGGGGGAAATTCTGTGTGTTTCTGGTTATTTAGCATTTTTTGTTTTAAAATTTTTAATTCATTGGAATATCTTCTGAGCATTTCACTGCCATGCTGATAGTTGTTGGATAAATAGATAATAACAACTCATATTGATTGGGCACTTATTATGTGCTATGTATTGTTAGACTCTTTGTAAATGTTATTTGCAAAGCAGAGTTAATTTAGCTTAGTAGCAGCCTCAGGGACCTGAACCCAGGCACTCACCTGTACAGCCCGTGTAAACCCTTGCACTCAGGGATGCCTCACTGGGAGGAGAACCTGAGCACTGAGGATGCTAAATAAGGAGATATTATCCCTTCTCCCCATCTGCTAACTACCTCAGGCCTGAAATTGTCTCATCATGCCTGCCTGTGGTGATTCTGCAGAGAGCTAAATAGAACTGGGTTGCTTTAAATTCTGGGAGATAACTCGTGAGTCAGTCCTGAGGGGGTTTTAATCTGTGAGTAAACTAAGAGATTGGTTGGTTTTCTTTGAGTGTGGGGAGAGGAGGTTGGAGCTCTTGTTAAGCCTCACCACTCAGATGTTCCCAGTTCCTGCTGCCTGTTCCTTGAGCTGCTAAGATGGACAGTCTCTCACATGTGTCATCCTTACCTGCTGAGCTGAGGTGGCAATGGAGGCAGCTTTTCCAATTATCTCCTGCTGAACATAATCAGTTGACCCACTGACAGTTGTCAGTCAGGCAGAACTTTTGCCCTTAATGAGAAGGCACAACAAAATACTGCTCTGATTATCTGGAGGAAGCATCTTTATTACACTGTAATAAGCCATGTAATTTAGTTATGACAGAGAAGGGAAAATTGCTCAGAGTGTCTTATTGGGTCAGAATAATTCCAACCTACAGAACAGTGAATCTACAAACAAATTGAAGCCTTATTGGCAGTAAATTTACCAACATCTTAATGTGTGTTACTCTGGTGATTTGTCAGTGCATGGTTTTTATTTTCTTGTTTGTGCTTCTCTGACCTTTCTGAATTCTAAAAAGTAATCCAAATTAATTTCAGAGTCAAAGTTTTAAAAACTGAGTTATAGGGTAGATATGGGCCTCAGTGTACTACTTCTACTATGGAGCTTGAGGCTGAGGCCAGCCTCAGAAAGCCTTAAGCCATCTCTGAAATCTAAAACCTTTAAACAAACTCACTCAGAATTGTACTTTTCTTCTGGAACTTGCTCATTTTTTCAGCTTCTTATAAATATTGAGAACAGGGTGTATACTTTTGAATTTCAACCTAGCGCATTGTGACCATTAATCATGATGTGGCAACTTGACTAGATTAAGAAATGTCTACCAGATTAGGAAAGCACAGTTCTGGGTGTGTCTGTCGATGATTGACATATAGGCAAGTAAACTGGTGGAGGAAGACCCACCCCAGGTATAAGTGACACCTATCAAGAGGCTTCTAGTCTGGATGGAATAAAAGGGGAAGAAGAGGGAAGTTGGAGTGTTTTTGAAGAGCTTGTCAGCTTAAGGGAGTTCATCTTTTACTGCCATTGCCTTTGGAAACCAGTCTCCAGTTTTTCCAGCCTTCCTACACAGACTCATGCCAGTGATTCTCCAGCGACTTTTTATTCTTTCAACCTTGGACTGGTGCTGGATTTAGATTCCTCTTGTTCTGTGTCTTCTATCTTCTTGGTTGAGAAGTTACTGGATCTTCAGGGCCTCCAGTGTGAGACAGCCATTGTGGAGTCCCCCTGATCTGTACATAGCCAAATTTGTAATGAAAATTGAGGGCCAAGCAGAGCAGAAAAATGCCCAGAAGGAAACAAATGCAAAGTTGGAGCCAAAGGAGAGTATGACTGCTGAAGAGATTAGCTCCATAAAAAAAGAACCCAAAGTACTTTGTACAGAGACAAGAAGAAAGATGCCTTAAGGGCATCTCAGGAATCAGCAAGACCTCACCCAGGTTCAAGGGTGTAAAAATGTCAAACTTTATTTTGAGATGAGAGCCCTTGGGACCCCTCCTTAAGAAGGACTTTCTAAGGGCTGGGGATTTAGGTCAGTGGCTCTGCCGCCTGCTCCACAAGCTCAAGGACCCAAGTTCGATCCCCAGTACCAAAAAAAAAAAAAAAAAAGGACCTCCTAGCGAATTGCTTCCCCAGGATTTGTTTTTCTATGCTCAGCCATCCAGGTATTCAGAGGCCACTGCAGTCATAGTCCAAAGGGGCTTGGCTACTGCTCCTGCAGACAGCAGATCTTGGTATTTTCCATGTGATAGTGGTTTTGCTGACATAAAAAATGCAAGAATTATGGGGTAAGGGAAACTTCCACCTAGATTTCAAAGGAAGGTCTGTGATTCCAAGTAAGTGGTCTCTGAGAGGGATGTGAGTGAAGTTGTGTTAATGAAGCCAAAAGTGCAGTGGTGACCCTAGGAATTGGAGATGCTAGGAACATGGAACATGTGGGAGGAAAGCTGCAGCTTGAGAATGAAACAAGCCACAAGAGAGTGTATAGGCTGCAACCAGCAACACAGTAGTGGGGTGGGGGTTGGCATGTAATCCCTCTGGAATTCACATTTCATCACCATGTGCCCCAGATGATGGGCATGGATCTACAGGACTTAATGTTTGTCTTGCTGGATTTCATTCTTGTTTTGAATCAGTTCTTTTCCATTTCCCTATTCTTCCCTTTTGGAATAGGTAAGTCCTTCATACCAGTTTTCTCAAAGTCATCTACAACCTACAAATATTGAAACATTAAGTGACAGGACCAAGATCAGAACAAATGGTAGACAATGAAGAAGTTAATACTTAATAGAGTCTAGTGAAAATGCTTTAAACTTATACATGCCTTCTGATGGCATGTTTGCTTCCCCACCCCCCAGAAAGGAAGAAACTCATTCATGAATTAAATATAGGGTTATGTTGCTGAAATAAATTTTAATTTACAGGTTTATGCCTTCTTGGTGACTATGGCAGTCAAATATTCTTGTTTTTCATGTGACTTGATTCTTTTCAGGTTAAGGTGATGCATTTATCATTTAAATAAATAATTTAATTTTTGTCATTAAAAATATAATTAGATCCATTTTTACTTAAGCGAATCCAGAAGAAAAAAAGTCACTTAATCCACCATTTTGGATTTGGAAACATTGAAAATATATGACATATATTTTATTTTATTTTATTTATTTATTTTTTGGTACTGGGGATCGAACTCAGGTCTTTGTGCTTACACAACAGGCGGCGAAACCACTCAGCTAAATCCCTGGCCCTATGACTTATATTTAAAAAAAATACATTGGTATAAAACCAGTCATAGAAAAGTGGCACCATAAAAGTTCAGAGCATGGCTCCTGGGGTGAGACCCGGGTTTAAATCTGGGCTCCTGGTGATTGCTTATTAGCTGAGTGACCATGGAAGATGAACAGTGGGGAGAAGAATAAGACTTCTCTGAAAGGATTGCTACATGGATTACAATACTATATTAATCCATTAGAGGGCTGAGAGTGATGCCTGGCTTAGTAGATGGGAGCTCTTGATTTTATTATCACTCTGCATTTTTGTTATCTCCTTATAGTCTTTTTTTAAAAAATCAGATTTGCATCAGAGAGGAAATATAGTTGCTGTTCTCACTGTAGAGTCTATATCCATCCCCTGATGCTGTGTGACCGTGGATGCTGGGGAAGTCATTTCATGGGCCTGGGTGTCAATTGCAGCACCCACAAACTGGCTCTTCTGTATTCCACAATATGGAGCTACCCAGTTTCAGCTGATGTTCAGGGAGCTTAAGATGAAAAGATGCCTAATGCCAAGAACATGGAAAGTCTCTGGAGTTGGAAAAAAGAGCTGAACCATTACTTCAGGCCTGAGGTTTTGCTGCATTAGAGAAATGAGGTGGGACCTGGATAACCAGTTCTGTTAAATCAAGACCCCCAGACACCAAAGTAAAAGGGTAAAAGGCACAAATAAACACACAAATTTTAAAACTGGCAGGCTAAATTTAAACTTTGCATAGTTCAAGTTAATCACATGAGAAAATTGATGTCAGATAATGAAAACATTATTTGTTTGGATCTGTGCTTGCATTTCAGTTCCTTATTAAGAAGACAAAGTCACTATTTTATTCTGCTTTTCTTTCCTATGTTAGTCGAGAGCCCTCTGGATCAGAGTCAGAAGAGGACATGAGCAGATATAATGAACTGATAGCTAGTTCTTCCTGTGTGTTGGCACCTTTCCCGGGTTGCTGAGTTTGAATACTGAGGAACATATGCAGACAGGTAACTACATCAAGATGTGCCTAGAGACTGGAGAGCATGAGGCTAAAGTTGAAAACCTCCCAGAGAGGGCTAGCATCCTGTTCTAACACACACTTAGGCATTGAGTTCACTCATCCAGTGGTCTTAGTTTTAATTATGTTGATTTTCTTATGACCCTGAAGCTTTGAAATGGAAATAAGATCATTCTTTAGTACTTATCTTTACCCTCACATCAAATTCTGCTTTATTGGCTTTTAAGGAAAATATCTGATATGGATATGGAAAGGGTCACCATGGACACAACCACCAAGAAGAAGGTAAATTTGCATATTTTTTTTTGGTACTGGGGATCGAACTCAGGTCCTTACGCTTGCGAGGCAGGTGGCAGAACCACTGAGCTAAATCCCTGGCCCTAAATTTGCATTTTGAAAAATAAAAATTAAACTGTCCTTTGTTTTGAATCCTTTTTGCCCTTGAGATGAATATTCAAGCTTGATATTCACCCAAGGTGTATTTGACATGTGGCTGGTGTAAACATTCTAAGACATACCTGGAGTTCTGAATCTCTTCCATGAATAAAAAAGTCTTTCCCTGCTCTCAAAGCATCCACAGATAAACATCTTCACCGAGTGATGGCGAACTTGTTAGCTCTTTCCATGATAACAAGCAGCCCACTGTGGCATGGCATGTGCACCATGTGTTCATGACCACTGAATAGATGTTTTCACACTTGCGTTTTTGCTCTGTAACTTGGCCTGGGCCACCTCTGCTGAATTCCTGAGAGGTGGGCTTCATTTAACATTCCACATGTTCATGGTGCTGACCTGGACCCTGAATGGAAAACAAGGGGGGAAAGGAGAGAAATTTCCAATATTTATGGAGTTTACGTTCTCAGATTGAAAAAGCTTTGTATTTCAAGAAACTAAACTGCTCATAATATTAGTCATAAGAACTTGAGATTTTTGAAAGGTGTCAATATAACTTAGCATTTATCTTATGATTAAAGTAAATTTTTTTCAATTGTAAAATTTTAGATTAAAAAACTTGTGACTATGGTGTTTGACCATGTTTTAAATTTTATAAATCTAAAACTAGTTTTTTTTCTCACAGCATTATGTGAGGACTTGGGCTTTTAATGGGTTAAAAATATATTCTGACTAATGTTCAGCCCTCAATCCATCTCATGTTCTCAGATGAAAAATGCCACCACCCCCCACATCAAAGCATGGGAAATTTGCAATTCCCTCAAAAGACTGTAAATGAGCCTGTTGTCAAGCTGCCAAGGTAAATTTACAAGTTTTAAATTTTGCCATAATATCTATCAGAAATTCAAATGATGAGTAATTAAAGCAATTTTTGCTCTCTTGTGGCCTATGCAGCGTGACAAAACAGCCTTTCAATGTCACCTCTCCACTGCTGCTTGGTTTATTTTATTTATTTGAGTACCAGGTGGCTTATTCTGGAGAGTGCCCGATAGTCTATTAAATTCTAAAACTAAAATAGTGACAAACACTATAAATATTTTATGGTATGGGTGAGTATATGTTCCTCAAAGTTATTCTGTACCTTTGAGATTTATAAGAATAGCATTTTCTGTAATTAAATGGTTTGATATCATTACAGGAAGTTTTAAAACTACACAAGAGGGAGAGACTACCCAAAATCTATTTCTCTGAGCGAATCACTGTTACATTTCTCTGTATATGTGTATTTATTGGGGTTTAGATATTATGCTACATATTGATATCAAAACAACTTTTTTGATTATAAAATTAGTATAGTGATAATTTATAATTGAGTTAATAATATATCAGTAGATATAGTGAACATTTGAAAGGTAAAGAAGATAAGAATAATCTAGAAACCAACCAAGAAAAAACTATTATTTGATACTTTTAAATTATATCCCTTTTTCTTTGCATATTTGTATATACTTAGAAGTTCACAGGAAGCAGTGATTTTTGGCATAATGAATAGAGAGATACTATAAAACTTTGAGGGAGGAGCTTGTTTTAGTGACTTTTTCTTGTTGCTGAGACAAACTACCCAACAGTCAAAGTTAAAGGAGCTATTTTGGCTCATGGTTTGTAGAGACCATAATTGGGAGGCTCCAAGAGAGGGTGGCATGGCAGAGGGGCACTGCAGAGGAGAAACAGTTCATAGTGGGTGGAAGGCAGCAAAGCAAGCAAGCAAATTGATCAGCAGGGACAAGCCTCTTTCTGTCCCTTACAGCTTATCCAGGTTACTTGCCCTTAGGCCAGGTAGCACTCACACCCTTGATCCCAGCACTCTTAATCCTAGCATTACACCATGAATCAATCCCAACATCACACACACTAGATCCACCCACCCCTGAAAAGCCCTAGCTATGAGGCTTTGAGGGGCTTTTGAGGGGACCTCTAGACACAGACATAACAGACTTCCTGCAGGGGAACTCATGACAGACATTTATATATTTATCTTTAAAACCTAGAAAAATCATCTTTGAGTGATGCAAGGCGTTAAAAATAAACTTTAGGGCCAGGGATTTAGCTCAGTGATTTTGCCTGCTGTGCAGGCCCAAGGACCTGAGTTTGATCCCCAGTACCAAAAAAAAAAAAAAAAAAAAGAACTTTAAAGAGATAGAAAATGTTTCCAGGTTGCCTGACTATGAAAATAGTTTCCACTTTCCCCCCAGGAACTTCTGAACATGTGTGTTGAGGGAAAAAGAGACTGAGTCTGGAGAGGAGAAATTTCTAGTTGAGTTGCTTTTCCCAGTCCAGTGTCCTAACTTCATTTAGCTGGAGTCCAACCTCGTCAAGTAATGTGTCCTATCATCAAACAAGGTGAGGGCTCTCGCTGATCTCTGGGGTGTAGGTAGGCCCTGAGAAACAGTCTCTGGAATTGTTGGGGAAAGGAAACCCTGAAGCAGGAGAGAAACAGACGAGCAAGTCTATGAAGATGTGTCTCCAAGTTATTGAATATTCCTGACGAAACATGACCAGCTGTTTTTCTAAATTTGAAATTCAAACTTAATGAATTAAGTCTCAAGAGGCCTTTTGTATACTTGAAATATTAATTATTAAAATTTTTCATGCAGCTTGTTTGCAGTATTTCCTCTAGTAATTTTTCCGAGGATTTTTCTACACATGTAGGCTCTTAGGGCATTTTTGTTCCTGAGAATGTCTTTGTGGGCAGTCTTGGTTCATAATCTTTATATTGTAAATTCTATATACATTGATCTAAAGACTTTTGCCAATTGGTGCTGTTAGGGAGACAGCTTATTGAGGGTTTTTAAAAATTTGTAAACAGTGGGTAATTTATGCTTGGGACTTTTTTCCCCTTTATTTTTCAGTTGTAGTTTGTTAACCATAATTTGGATTTTGATGTAGAAACTCAAGAATTAACTTTCCTGGAGACCCCAGGGTGTTCATAATGGCCTCAGGCACAAAAAGAGTACATATGCACCAAACGTACTGCCCGAAGGGACCCTGGGCACTGGAGGCACTGGACTTGTTTGTGACCGGTGATGACCTCCCCTGTCAGCCCCCAGCTGTAGGTTCGATATGCTGTTTCAGTATCAGACATTGCTTCTGCCTGTGGTGCCTGGCTGTGGTGGACTTTCTGCACTGCAGTAGGACTGAAGTTGAACCCTTCGCCTGGAAAATGATGATGACCTTGAATCATCTCCTTTGACTGCAGTGTTTTACCTGTTGATTGATGGATCCACAGTGTGACTCAGAAGAGTATTTTCCAGTGCAATCTGAGCCAATCACGAAGGGAGTGAGGTCTGATTTGGAATCCCTATGTGTCCAAGGTGAGCCAGAACATCACCAGCAGCAGCAGATGAGTGCATATGGTAAACATAAACATAAACATAAACAAACTGGTTTAATTACAGCGTGGTGATTAAAATTTTTACTCAGGATGTAGCACATTCATTTAATTGACAGTCTGAATGTGATTGGTAAACTTCTTTAATCTTCATTTTTAGGTATAGTATTTCAACAATTTCCAACAAGTTCTTAATGCCTTGCTGCTTCTGATAGCTATTTTTGTTTGTTTGGTTTTCTTCTCAGGAACACAAATGTAATCATTATGAAATATCTTATTTCTTTTTTCCAAAAATTGTTTTCCTCTAATTTCTAAAAATCTCTTCCCCTTTCCATTGCATTCTGGGAGAACTTTTAAAGTTTATTCTTCATGTCGTGAATTCACTTTTCTGCCACATAAGTTGAGCTTTTTACTAACAAAAAGGTTTGATTTAGTTCTATTTTATTTTATTTCCTTTTAAATATTTTCCAGCCATCTCTTTTTTTACCTAATTTATAATTTATAATTGTCCTTTGGCTACTGAGTCTTTGAGTGGTCATATTTTTCCTTTTCAGTGTCTTTTGGATGATAATACTAAATGAAGGAAATTTGTAACAATTACTCAATGATTTGAAACAAGATTCATTACTAATGTGATTGGTTTTCTAGATGTTACACAGTAGCATAATTTTTTCATTTGCTAAGGCTATGACTAGATACTAAATGTTACAGTGTAAAACACTTTAACTTCATAGAAATTAAAGTTTATGAAGGATGTTAAGCAAGGAAAAAAATCTTACCCATATTGCACAATGGAAATAAAAACCGCTGTAGTTCTTAATGTATCGCTGCTCAATTTTTTTTTTTTTTTTTGGTATCGGGATGTTGGGAATTGAACTCAGGGCCTTGTGCTTGCCAGGCATGCACTGTGCTGCTGAGCCACATCCCTGGCCTCTTGCTCAGTATTTGACTTAGGCACTATAGGAGAGTTGGAAAGCTGCACTCTAGAACATAATGCATCGTAGATTTTTTTCTGCATATGTATTTTTTTCTGCTTCTGTTGATCTTCATTTTGAGTGTGATGTAGTTTCAGTTTTACTGTAACAACTTTAACAGTAACTCTAATAGTGAACAATCGACTATGTTTGTTCAAGACGTTCTTCAATTCTGATCCTAGAAAATTCAAATTTTAATTAATTAACATTAATTTTTGGTTTCTCATTTTTTTTGTACCGGGAATCAAACCCAAGGCTTTTGTACTGAGATACATCACACATCTCATCTTTATTTTATTTTTTAATTTTGAGACAGGATTTTGCTAAGTTGGTAAACTTCCCAGGCTTATGATCAACTTGTGATCCTCCTGTCTCAGCCTCCCCCAGTGTTGGGATTACAGGTGTCCTCCACCAGGCCTGGCACAGAGAATTTTTAAAAATTTCTTTTCAGCCATTTAAAACACATTAAAATATCTTTTCCATAGTTTTAAGAAAGACGTATAAGTATTTTGAACTCAGAATCCACCACGTCTTTTGGTTAGAAGTCTAGGGAAACTGTCTGCATCACCTTGGGGACTGTCAGTGCGCTTACATGGAGTCCTTCACAGCAGCCCGTCATTTTGAGCTTTGCAGTCATGAACGTATGATTTCGCCTCTGGTTCACACTCCAGTTTTATATGTGCCAATCAACGGAAGGAGTGCAGGCCAGCAGACACGAGGGGCTGTCTCCCGCGCCCCTCCCTGGAGCCCTGCTTGCGTGTGACGCCCCGTCACTGTGTCCTGGACCTCCCGGCAGGCCTGCTGGGGTCTTTCCACCCCTGAAGGCTCATGCCGGTCAGCCCTGTGTATTCTCTGGATTCCTGATTATACATTGCTTTGCATTATCATTTATTAAACTGTTGGGTGTTTTAAAATTTTGCTTTTTCAAGTAAATTCTCAGTTCCTTGAGGTCAAGAGCTGTCTTAGAAACTCTTTCCTTATGATTGTCAGGTATTAGGCATTCGGTAAACATCTGAGATACACAGACCTGAATGCTACTGACTTCTTATGCAAATGTCCCTGCATGCTCCGAATTCAGTTAGCCTATTTTCTGGTTAAATGAGTATAAGTCTGCAACTTATTTTGTTTTAAGCTTCATTTACTTTCTTGATTTCTTCACATATCTGAGGATTCTTAATGAAGGCAGAAAACATGCTACAATGTTAAGCATGGTATAGACAACATATGTACTGTGTCATTTCAACTAGTATAGGGAAAAGGTTACAAACATATGTCTTTGGGTGATTATGTAGTCTATTTTCTTCTTCTTTGGACTTTTTTGGACTTTTCACATTTTGGGCCTTCAGAACGTTTACTTTTTTAATTAGAAGAAATGTAAGAGAAAAACATCTTTGCACTTCTTGTATGTTTGTGTATAATGTGTATGTGTGTACAGAGAGAGAAAGACTGAGGTTTGTCTCTTTAAAGTAAAACAAGACAATAGCAATAACAAACTCTAAAAAGGTTGAGTTATGTGGCTAAATGCTATTTTACTGAAATATGCATAAGATTTTGATATAATAGAAATCATTTTGTTCAGAATTTTATTGACCAGAACTCTTGCTCTGTGTTTATTATAATAAATATAGAACTGTAGCACTGTATTTATCAAATGCATATCTCCATTCTGTATTTATAACATCTTTCCCCAATTTCTATTTCATATACAGCAAGCTCTAACTTATACAACAAATGAAGACAATGTGCTATAGTAAATCAGATATAAGAGTTTAAGGAGTTAATAACAATTTCCAGTTCATAGAATGCTAGAAAACAATATATTTTATTGTTTATATTCATGTTAACCAGCAATCCCTCAGAACAGTTAACAATTTTGTAAAGCCAAAGCCACGGGTAGTTGTGGGCCAGTTCCGGTTTTCCCTCAGCCACGTAAGTCCCTGGAGGACGTGAGGCCCTGGCCCATTACTTGCTGAGAGAGAAAAGGGGAAATACAAGAGAAGAACAGAAACATACTAATGTCTTAAGGTTCTATTAGCCACAGCAGGTTTTAGAAAAGCATCAGAAGTAAAATAATAGCTAACACTTACTATTTATACCATGGTGGCTTAAAAAATATGTCCACAATTCTTTTATGCCTTTACTCTCTGGAAGTAGCATTTAATGTCCTCCTGTTGAGTATGGGCAGGCCTTAAAGACTCACATCTAATGAATGGAATGCCATGGACGTGGTAGGATTTTGCTTCAGATGTGAGGCTATATAAAGATGAGGCTTCTGTCTTGGCTGCTCTTGGCTGGGACTCCCTCCCTCTCTCTCTCTCTCCCTGTGCTCCCTCTCCCTTGGGCCACTCACTTCGGGGAAGGAGGCTACCATATTGTAACTGCTCTATGGAGAACCCAGTGGCAGGAACAGAAGGAGGCCCGGGCCAGTAACCAGGAGGGAGTGAAGCCAGTTGACAGCTGGTAAATTTGGAAGTGTATCATTCACCTCCAGTTGAGCTGTGGGATGATTGCAGCCTTGTCCAGTAGAAATCCCCTGGAGGCCACCCTGATACAAACGTATAAAGCAAGTTGGAACCAAGTGTGACAAGTTAAGTACTAAAAAATTCTAATGGATGAAATAAATTACTAGTAAAAAATAAGGGCTCTTCACCTTAGTTGTACTGAAGAGGCCATCTTCATGCAACACAGGGAAGTACCACAGATAGAAAATAAGTGAAGTGAAGGGAAAAGACAGTGTGAACAGTTTGCCATAGTACAAAGCTGCTGTAAGTGCGATGGCTCCACTATCCTGCCGAGAACCCATGGCAATGTGTGTGGACCAGAAGTGGCCAGGAGCCACTCCATAAAACCACACGCACCTGCGGCCAGCATTGTAACCCTGGGTGGAAATTTGTGTTTCTCTGTACTCTGATGTTTATCATTGAGAGTGTAATTACTATAACTTGAAGCAATTTAAACAATGCTTTGTTAGAAAAATTATCCTCAAAAATGTGATTTATAAAGAGCATACTGGGGTAAGCAGCCACAATTATCTCTGTTGCCATAGTAACTTGCATTTAAGCCTAACCCAGGGTGTTAAAGGAACTAGAAAAATGTTGGTGATGTTGGAATACAGAAAGACGCATATGCTATTGACATGTAGTAACCCTGGCATGAAACTTGTAATAAGCATTTTAAAAAACAGGAGCTATTTTGTTTTGTTTTGAAAATGAAGCATTATAATGCGAACCACAGATTCCTGAAAATTTAGAGGTAGTCCTTTGTGTAGTATGACTAAAACAAGTTTGGTTTCTTCCTTGTCTAGAAGTTGGGCATGGGACATAATTTCCAAAGGTTCTGTTTGATGTCTACAATGGTAATTTCTCTTTCTGAATCAGAAATATTCTTAAAAAGTAAATTTAGAATTATAGGTTTATTAAAGATCACGAGGGAAAAAATGAGATAGCTGTGACAAATAAAAAATTAATACATATTCTGCACTCCTGCTCTCTAAAATATCATAGAATTTATGCCATGACTCTGCCTATCTCAAAGAGAGGAATCTTAGCAAAGTTAGTCTAAAAGCTTTTATGTGCATTTTCTAGTCCAAGATTTATTAATAAAGGTGCTCTTTATGAGTTCTCCTTACAGGCATGCACCCAGAGACTTTAAATAACAACTCGACAGCAAAAATACTATCTTTGTGAGAATCTTCCTGTCTTTTTCAAAGGGGATGTGGAGTATGTCAAGGGAGCCTGGACCGGGCACTTAAGCTTGAAAATTTTTACTGCTCTGTCTTGTTTATATTTCATTGTAATTGAAGGGGATCAGACTGTGCTACTCCAAAGTATGCCCACTTTGGCATATGGATTATTTTGAGCTGAAAATATTTGAGATTCAACAGATGTTAAAGCCTCCCTGGAGCTTCCCTTATCCGACTAAAAGCAGGGACTACTGAGAAATAGACAGCCATAAATCCCCTCTGCAGGGAGGTTTACAGACAGGAAGAGTATGGGAGGTTGGCATAGAG